AGAAGGGAAATTCTGCAGGGTGGTGGTGGGACCCACGGCCACCAAGAAAGGAGCCAGAGGCCTGTGGGGGATGGAGAGGTGCAGTGTTGGGGGGCAGAGTCAGGGCCTGGGGGCTCCCTGATTTGGGCAGAGGGACAAGAATAATCTGGAGCAATGCTAGCTTTCTGACATGGATGATGGGATGCTGAACTGGGGACGTGGGGATGGGTTCCTTCCTCGTGGACGCACTGGTTGGTTTTGTCAGGAGCCCCAGGGAGAGGCATCAGCCTCCGTGGCATATGAAGGTCTGGATCCAGGAGCATGTGGACACTGGCGTGGCCCCAGTGGGATGGGGCTGGGTCTGGCCGCAGAGACCCTTGGGGTGTCTTGAAAGAGAGTCCATGTGATGGGCAAGATGCAGTGTCCTTGCCTCAGAGAGGCCCTGGTGGCGGGTTGCTGGGGCTGGCAGTCTTCCTGAGTCTGTCACCCAGTCCTGCCCCCGCAGAGCAGCTCCTCTCTTGGGCCGACCCTCTCACGCCCTCCCCCCAAGGTCATCATCCTCCAAAATGCATCCTGCACTTCCCAGCACTGGCCTTGCCCGAGGACCTCGCCCTCCTGCTTGAGAAAGACAGAGCATCCGGCCGAGCCCTGCACCCTAAGCTGAGGCTCTGAGTATCCTGTCCCAAGCCACACCTCCAAGGCCTAGGGCAGCACTTTAGTGTCAAAGACCTCATCCCTTGGTTGCAGGCAGGGACACCCGGCAGGAGGCGCCGAGTCAGGGCTGAGGGACAGGGACGGGATTCACACTCAGCCGACAGCCATACCTGAGCCCCGGGCAGGAATGAGGGACTATGTGCTTCCCGTCACAGTAATGGAAACGTCCACCCCAAGCCACGGGCCACTTTGGTGGAGCTGGACTTTCCTTCCTTCAGCTCGCCACTGAAGCTGGCACAGGTCTCGAAAGGCCCCCGCCCTGAAACCTAACTGTCTATGGAAATTAAACAGTGTGCTACACATCCCATGGGCCATGGAAAACAATCACAGGAAAATCAGAAAATATTAAAATGAATGACAAAACATGCCCGAATCATGGGACACTGCAATAGCATCGCCTCAAGGGAAATCCGTAGCTGTGACCGTGTACGAAAAAGGCAGAAAGACCTCAGACTAGTCTAACTTTCCACCGTAGGGACTAGCTAGAAAGAACATAAGCAAAGTGAATTCCCAGCTAGCAGGCGGACGGGAGCGGTGCAGACTGGGGCAGAGGTCGTAAAATAGAGAAGAGGAAAACCACACAGGAAATGGATGAACCCCACGTGGGTTCTTTAAAACAGTCCACAAAACTGGCCAACCACTAGCCGGACCAACTGAGAGAGAGAGAGAGAGAGAGAGAGAGAAGGCTCCTATTATGCTGGACGTGCTGGCCAGAGTGATCATGCAGGAAGAATTAAACCTAAAAGCGGTCCAGACTGGACAGGTGTCTCCATATGCCGATGACGGGACCACAGACACACGATTCTAAGGAATCCACAGGAAAGCTCCCAGAGCTTGTGAACAAATTCAGCAAATCTTCAGGACACAAGACCCACACACAAAATTCAGTTGCGTTTCTGCATGTAAGCAACCATCAACCCGAAGATGAAGGAGACAGTCCCGTTACAATAGCATAAAAGCAAGTCTTAGGAAAGGAATCTAACCCGGTGGGGCAGGACGTGTGCACTGGAAGCTGATGCTGCCAGCAGAGATCACACAGACCCGCGGACAGAGAGCCATCTGTGTTTACGGATCGGATGCTGTTAATGTTACCATGTCAACGACTCTTCTTGAAGGGATCTGTAGGGTCCAGGCAAACTCCACCAGAACTCCAGTGGCCACTTTTGCAGAGATGGAAAAACAGATCCTAATGTTCATATGGAATTGCAAGGGACCCTGAATAGATAAAACAATCTTGAAACACGAGAGCTCTCTGTCCCCTCTGCTCCCTGAGCCGGCCCTGACTCGAAGGCAGCGCATCTGACGCCCAGACTTGGGGTCTCAGCCCTGGCGGTCCCTCTGCTGAGTGGGGACCGCCCCCAGGGCTCAGGCGGGAGGGAGAGTCAGGCCCAAAATGTTCTTCCTCTCCAGAGTCCTGTAAAACTTTACATGAATGTGGTTGCCTTGAAACCTCTAAATGGTCCTGGTTTTCCCCAAAGTGGTGCAGAGTGGGCCTGTGGAGAGAGGAGGCAGACCCTGGTGTGGGCCGCAGGGAAAGCTCCCCTATGGCAGACCCCTTGCCGCATCTCTGCGGGCACCTGGCAGCGAGGTCAACGTGAGAAGTGACAATCGCCCTCCTGTTTCTCAAAAAACTGCTCTGAGTTCACCCAGAAGGTCCGAACCCACAGCTACTTTCTTTTTATTTCTCATTGGAAAACTGCAGAGCAGGGAGGACGCAGGCCTGCCTGCCTGCCTGCCGGCCGTGTACCCAGCTCTGGGCCCTGCCGCAGGTCAGCGGGACCTGGTGTACTGCTCTGCTTAGCGTAGGGCAAGGCCTGGCAGCGCGAAGCCTGGGGGCTCTCCCCTCCCTGGAAGACTCAGGAGCTACATCCTGTGCTGGGAGTGGGGTCAGGGATGCAGATACAAGGATGCCTACTGGGGGCCAGTCGGAAGAGCATCGCTGGTAAGGAGGGCAGATGGCAAGCCCAGGGGGGTCTGGGAGGAAAGACTGGCCCCCAGCCTTCAGGGTCCCCCCGCAACGCCAGGCCTGGCCAGAGAAGGTAGTGGAGGAGGGCAGGCCCTCAGCAGAGCCCAGAGCCAGTGTCCTCGCTCTCCTGAGCCTCATCCTGCCAGAGCGGTCGTCACCTAGGGAGCTGCTGGAATCACATCACACTCCCACCCGCCCCCCAAGGTCAAGCTTCTGTACCAAAGAAGAGGACACGGAGGGACAGGTGACAGTGGTATTCAGACAGGAACAGCACAGGTCCCAGAGTGACCGGCAAGTGTGACACAGCCAGCTTAATGCACAGCCACCGAGCCCATGCTCCTCTAGTCCTGGGCCACCTGAGCCCACAGCCCACGGGACACATGCCCACAGAGCCCACGGGATACAAGCCCACAGAGGCCACGGGATACATGCCCACGGAGCCCACAGCCCACGGGACACATGTCCACAGAGCCCAAGGACACATGCCCACAGAGCCCGCAGGACACATGCCCACGAAGCCCACAGCCCATGGGACACATGCCCACAGAG